AAGCACGTGTTCAGCTGTTATGGCTGCCGAAAGGGGCAGGCATCTGACCTTAGTGACTAAGACAAGGTCAGACAAGCTGTTATGGCTGCTGAAATAGGGAGCTGGTCCCTTCAGCACACACCTTTAATCCCAGGACTTGGGAGTTATGCAGTGCAGGATTTATGCAATACAGGGATTGAACCCAGGACTTCCTATGTGGTAGACAAACCCTCTACCAAAGGAGCTACATTGCTTTTAGAATTCTCTATCTCTTTAATTAGGGCACTGGAGATCCACCTGCCTCTGCCTCCTAACTGCCAGGGTTAAAGGCATGTGCCACCACCGCCTGGCTCCCAGGCACTCAGGAGGCTGGTTGGCCTTACCCCATCATAATCAGGCTCTTCAGTTAATGCAGGAATTCTGTTGTGACATCTACTGGTTTATTCTGCAACCTATTCAGTGGAGCTCTTGGTGCATTGCTTTTGTTAGGAGCAATGGCACAGAAAGGAACAGAGACCTGAGGATGGAGACTTGAGGCTGCCTACCACAAAAGGACCCACATAACTGGGATGAGGGCACTAGGAAAGATCCAGACACAAGTGTGGCGGTTTGATAGAGGTTGATGTCCACTCCAGTTCAGAAAGGTGAAACGTGGGTTGCACTTGAATTGAAACACATGAGCTTCTATGTTGAGGAAACTGCTACACAAAAGACAGACAGCAAGCAGCCTGTGGGCCTGTCCTGGGAACAGTGAGAATGTGGAGAGGTGTCCCAGCCTTGGCTGGGTGATTCTGAGAGGACACAAACCCATAAATGCTCTGCAGGAGTGAGGTCTGTTAGGACAAAAGGCCACTAGACCATGACTGGGTCTCAAGGTGGGAGAGCATTAGCTCTCAGGAGGCAGAGGCAGGCGGGTCTCTGAGGTCTTTTAGGACAAAAGGCTGCCAGACTGTGACCTTAACTGGGCCTTGAGGTGGGAGAGCATTAAAGAGGAACAATACTTTGAAATCAATTTAGCATACCAGGCCTTAAAGGCTTGCCCTTCAACCAGAGAGGAGCTTGGTTAGGAGCTTAAAGGGAAAGAGCCACCAAGGATAGGATCCTATCAGTGTGGGCTCAGTGTCATAGAAATCCCACCGGACAAAGGAGATATGTGACTTCCCTAATTTTCAAGGGCGGGCAGGAATGTGACATGAATTAGTCTGATATAGCCTGCCTGATTTACAGGGATGGCCTACATGATTTTGGGGGGTAAGCCTACATGACTGGAGAATGGAGATGCTAGCTACAGGTAGACCACAAACTAGGGGCTGTCAAAAGAACAGCACAGACTGGCTTCTTAACTCTGCCCCAGGGAGAGCTGTGATAGGCGAGGCCTGATTTCTTTAGACTGTGAGATTTGGCCTCTTGGAGTGACCGCTGTCTTCAAAGGACACATCTGTGATCTAACATAACAGTACCATGGGGCTAGTGGACCATAGAGAGCTGCTGAGGATTCATGGGGAACCAAGGAGGGACACGGCAGAAATCAAAGAGGGTATTAGTGGGTAGGATGAAGCCCATGGAGAATGGAGGTGTCTGTCCGCCACTTAACCGTTGCCAGCTTCTCCTTCTACAGCATCATGGGAAGAAAGAATAACTTTAATGAAGTGTTGAACCGCCTAGCCACAACTGCAAAGAACCCCAAAGAAGCAGATGAATGTCTATGATATTACAATTATGTTCTGCAGTTAACTCAGAAATTCCTTTGTGATTTATAATCACTTATTCAGCAAGTTATTTAGGAACAAAAGCAAAATCAACCCAGAGGCTCACATCAAAATTGAAGAGAACGGCTATGAAATATCTGAATATCCCCCCCCCAAAACACACCGTGCCTAGATGTAGCCCCTTGCTTCATTTACTCATTTATCCACCCCTTCATCTATCCATGGAGCTATCTATCCATCAGTGATCCATCCATCCATGCATCCATCCATCCATC